CATTTCCGTAGCTTCCGTGAAATGAATGGTGGACATGGAAAATAAGAAGCAGGCCTCTCTAGCACCAGGGGATGAGAGTTTGCTGTAAGAAAATACACAGGGCAGTCGGGAAGCTGCGGGGGTCTTTGCAGCTCACCCATCCTTCTCCAGGCACCTTTCCTGGGTTCTTGGCTCCGGGACACGCCATTGCTCCACTGAATCCGGTGCTCCGCTGCTTACCCAATGGCTATGCTCACATGACTGTTGGCAGGAGCCCCTTCCAGAGTCTGGTCAAGTGCACTGTAAGCGCATCAGCATGGGCACAGTGGGTGTGTCTGGTAGGACGTCAGCCCTGGTCTAGCCCGAACCCAGATGTAGGAGGCGTGCCCTCATGAGCAACAGCCTACCGAGATGATAATACAGTACCGTGAAATTCCACACAAGTCGTCAGACAGGGAACTTCTGAGAGACAGATGATGATGGGAAGGGAAGTTCAGCAACAATCGTGATGCTCCATGGCCGCCTCTTTGGCTTTGCAACTCCGGTCTGCCATATTGAATCAGTTCCTACTTGGAATTGTTTTCTTCCCACTGAAAAGTTGTATGTACAAAGAATGTTCCTCAACAAATATATTTTTGAGTGATTATATTGACCGTGGTGGAAAATAGTTTCAAACTGAATGCCAAGAAGGTATATTGAATGTTTACTGCGTGTAGAATGCGGGTAGGCTTTGCAATGGATGCTGACTGCATCTGCTCGGCAGAGCTTGATTAAGCCAGGATGACCTAAGGTAGGTCACTGGGGTACAAATGTAAATAGTGAATACAGAGAAACTGCCCTGGGGGTAGGGGCTTGCTAGCACAGGTGGGGGGCACATCATGAAGCCCTGAGCAGTCAAGACAGCCTTCTGAAGAGGAGTTCATTTGAGTTCAGGTGAACTATAAGTAGGAATTTCCCAAAATAAACATGGGGGACGATGTAGATAGAGCACAGATGTAAGTTCCAGGTGGACCATCACATGTTACAGGAAAGATGGCTTATAGGTGTGTGTCATGTTTTTTTTTTATCCCCTAGGATCATAGAGTGACCCATTCTGTAAAACCTTGATTGCTACCAAGAGATCCACAACCCTACTCTGATCACCCGCCCGTCCCCCCAAAGGCCAGAACACAAGTCACCCTACCACTCTGGGATTAGGGTTTCAGCATACTAATTGTGTTGGGCACAAGCATTCAGCGTATTGCCATGTGACTTCTTCCATCTGGGTTGCATCTGCCACTGTGTTTCTGACCAGTAGCAACTCTGGTCTACATCTCAGCACCTACAGCTCTGAAGGAAAGAGATCCCATACCGTGATTATTAAACAGTATCTGTATGAGTTCTGCTGACACAACACTGGTCTCTGTCATGGTTCATTTCCAGAGTCCTGGTTTTCCTGGTTCTGGGGTTCCACCAAAGCCAGACCCAGAACTCCAGCAGAGTACCTCAGAGCTGGACGGGGAGCAGCCACAGTTGAAATGATAGCTGATGATGGTGATGGGGAATGGGGGTGCTTAAAAAAGGAATGACAGTCAGAAAAAGAGGGAGAGGAGGCCGGGAGCCAAGGCTAAGGAAGCTTGTGTTGTATGCTGTAAATGTTCTAACCCCCCCCCACCCCAGACTGGCCTCAAACTCACTTTGTAGCCAAGGCTGGACTTGGATTCTGGATTATCCTGTTTCTGTTTTTCAAGTACTGGGATTGCAGCCATGTGCTACCATGCCTGACTCTAAAGATTCTTATATAATTTTTTTGGGTAATGTTTTCAAGATCGTCCAAACAGTCTGTTCTATGGAGGCATTTTTATTTTCTTTTATTGTTGAAAACTCAGGTCATTAAAATTATGAAGAATGTTTTGTTGGCCTAAAAGTCACTTTCAAAAGTTAGTAAAACAACTTTTTAAGGATATTTTGCTGAAGTGAAATTGCTGGGTCAACGGAGTGAACCTTTTAATACTTTCAATAAATATCCTCCCATTAATACATAGAAGGATTTTTCACCTTAGGTCACCTCTCCATTGCAAGAGAGAATTTACCTCATTGTCATACAATAAAGGCTACTTTAAAAACTGAGACTGAACAGGGACATTTTTCTCTATTGTCTTTTCTTGGCTTTCTGGCCATGTGTAAATGCTGGTGTTCCTATGATAGGTTTGTTTTCTGGACTACATCTTCCTGTTTCTCACTCTGGTCTGTGCGCACAGCCATGCAATGACTCCATTGCCATGTGCATGCTTACCTGATTACTAACTTCATACAGATAATTCTTGATACTGGGAGTCCCATACAGAGCGCAACTTGGCGAATGCTGAGCGGCTCCTTTGTAGGAACTTCTGACTCTGTGTCATTTCAGCAGGACATTGGATGCTCTAGTTGTTCACTCCTAAGTCACTGAGTTAGCAGAGTGTACACTTGCTTCTTACAAGGATACTCCTAATGGAGACTTGTCCTTGAAGTCATTTGGGGACAAGAATTCCTTCTGCCCATGACCTCAGTCTCCTCAAGGCCTGCACAGTTGTTTTCGTCCTGTGGGAGGGTGCTGAAAGACAATCGGGACAGATCTGGAGGCTCACTGTTCCACAGGCTTGTAATCTGTTGCATGGGAGAGGTCTGCTTGTTCGTCCCGGCCACCTGGCTAGCTTAGCCCCGAAATAACCACACAGAAATTGTATTAATTAAATCACTGCTTGGCCCATTAGTTCTAGCCTCTTATTGGCTAACTCGCACATCTTGATTTAACCCATTTCTATTAATCTGTATATCACCACATGGCAGTGGCTTTCAGGGAAAGATTCTAACCAGTGTCTGTCTCACTGGATCTCAGAGGATTCATGGTGTCTCTGACTCTGCCCTTCATTCTCCCAACATTCAGTTCTGTCCTCCCCTCCCCCCACCTACCTAAGTGCCGCCCTATCAAAAGGCTAAGACAGTTTCTTTATTCATTAACCAATGAAAGCAACACATAAACAGAAGGACCTCATACACCAGCATTCTGCTGACTAAAACTCAATTCCATGGCCACATGAACTGCAAGAGAGAAAAGGAGGGTTAAGGGGACATGTGAATACCTAGCGAACCCTTGCCCAAACTGTCGTACCTGAAATGGCGACATGTGTCCAGATAGTCTGTTGTATTCTGGGCTTTATGACTATGTCTCAGTGTAGAGCACCCAAATTCCTTGGATTGTTTACAAAATTTAAATATGGAAAGTAAAATGCAGAATATTGATAAGAAGCTCATAGCTTTAAGTAGACCCAAGGGTGAAAAAATGACAGACTAGTCATCAAATGGAACTTAGTTTAGACAATGGAGAAAATGTAGACGTTGTTGAGTAAAGTGGTTTGGTGCCTAGGTGTGGATGCATGAAAGAAGAGAAACACACAAGGACTTTTATGGGGATTTACGCTCAATTGGCAAGTTTAATGACTTACAAGAATGACATTTGTTTGAACGGAATATTTTAGTGAAGGTCTGCATATAGCAAGGAATTGCCTTATATTTGAACGTCATATATGTGATAAGGCCACTATCTCTTTCCTACAACTCAACATCGGAAAGCAATCAGAGTGAGAAATGAGCGGCACCATTTCCCCGCAGCCTAATGGTCAGCTGACTGGGCTGTGAGAAGCCCTGAGCATTGAGATGTATAAATCAGAAACACTATAGGGTGCCATCTCCCAGGGACCAGAGGATGTCGCTCTGGAGATGATGTAGCAGAAAGGAGACAAGCTTCCATTTGGATGCAGGAAGAAGGGCATATTAGTCAGCATATGAGAAATGGCAGAGATGTTTCTAAGGAAATTCAACAGAGAACTACCATGTGACCCGGTGCTCATGTGTAGGCACTCAAAGGAACTGAAATTGCTATCTGTTATAGGGATTTGTAGCTTCATGCTCACTGTAAAGTTATTAATGATGCCACAGTATAGAAAGATGTATATAGAAGCTGTAGTGTTTATGTGTATATGCGATCATAACAGACCTTTTAGAAGAAGGAGGAGATCCTGAGTCGAGCATAGTAACTTTTGCCTATTATCTCAGCATTTAAAAGTCTGAGGCAGAAGGACCGCTGATAATTTCAGGCTAGCCTGAGTTAAATAGTTTGAGGCTAGCCCAGGCTATATAGTAAGATTTTCTCTCAAAAGAAAAAAAAATAATTCTATTTGCCTCATGTCTTAACCCGGAGGATGGTTTGTTAAGGGAAATCGCAGACACAGGACACTATTTTATAATATCATTTACTTGTGGAAGTACTGAAGAAAAAAATATCAAATCTATAGCTATACAAGACAAGGCAATTGGCACTGGGTTCAAGGGTGGGGAGGTATAGCTCCAATATGCAAATCAGCAGATGCCAGGGAAGAGAAAGTCTTCTGCTGGTAAAGTCCACCATGAGGACTGTGGACTGGGAGGATTGTGGACTGGCAGGACTGTGGACTGGGAGGACTGTGAACTGGTGTCATGTGGGGTGGGGCAGAGCAGGTGATCTCAGCTCTCTCGCGTTAAGCAGAGTGTGGACAACTGGGGAATGATTGACACATTCGTTTGCTTCCATGGTAACCGTCTTATTAGTTAAGCCAACCTCATGCTGAATATCTGAGATGTAAAGAATCACCATGGAAACAGAAGCTTTGGTGTGTTTGAAGAATTATTCGGGTTGTGATCATTGGCATGGTAAGATTCATGTAAATGTGAGCGGCACCATTACATGGGCTGGGCCTTGGATTTCGTACCCAAAAGGAAGTGAGCTGGGCATGAACATTCATCTCTCTCTGCTTCCTGACTGCAGATGCCGCATGACCAGGCGCTTCAAGCTTGGGTCACCATGACAACCCACCAAGATGGCACAAATTTCTTATGTCTGTGAACCAAAAATCAACCCATCATTCTTTCAGTTTCTTTTCTCAGGGGTTTTGTCATAGAAAAGTAACTGAGACACTAAGCAGGGTTTCTTGACCTCTTTCTCTTGTTTCTCACAAACACAGGTGATTAAAGTCTACAGCGAGGATGAGACCAGCCGGGCGTTAGAAGTGCCCAGCGACATCACCGCCCGAGATGTTTGCCAGCTGTTGATCCTGAAGAACCACTATGTGGATGACAACAGCTGGACCCTTTTTGAGCACCTGGCTCACACAGGTGTAGGTAAGGATATAAGATCACTGTCTAATAGTGTCCCTTCTGGATACACAACCACCAGATGGCAAAAATTTTCTTCCTGTAGACAAAAATAGATAACTATGTGTTAAGTAGTCCTTCTCTTTCATTTGGAGCCATGGACGGTGGACAAAAAAAAAAAAAAAAAAAAAAAAAAAGCACAGAATAGGAAAAAAGATAAAAATGTTGTAAACTTGTCACCCTGCCTAGTTAAATCATGATGGAGCTACATCAATAGTGGAACCAAAACACGAAGTTAAATTTCACCGTCAAATCTCATAATAATGCAGGGAAATCCCTCAAGAAGTTAGAAAAAGATTTTGTTTGGTTGCTTGCATGTTGGTTGGAAGTACACGCTCTAGACTTAAAAATGTAATCAATACTTAAAAATACTATCTTTTCCAAAATATTTAATGGGATACTTCCCTGGGTTGTGGATTGTGCAGAGAGTTTTAGGGTCTTCTTTTCATGAAATATGAACAATTTATTGCCTTCCAGAGTGAGAACAGGGTTTGGCAGTAATTTTATTCTCTACTTTCCTGTTCTTGTAGGTGCTTAGGTGGGCAAGCCTGCTTTTGTCTTTAAGTAGATGAGAAAGGAAGGGGTGAGTCATGGTACGCTGTTTCATGCGTTCAGCTGTGTGCTGCTTTCACATGGTTGCTGTAACAAGTTACCATGAACTCGTTTGCTTAAAACAAGGCAGTTTACTGTCCTCACACTCCTGGAGGTGTGAAGTCAATGCCTTCGGCTGAAGTCAAGGCTTGGATAGGCTCTAATACAGAATTTTTGCCTTTCTTCTCCTTCTTTTTTTTAAAAAAGATTTATTTATTTATTATGTATACAACATTCCTTCCATGTATGCCTGCACGCCAGAAGAGGGCGCCAGATCTCATTATAGATGGCTGTGAGCCACCATGTGGTTGCTGGGAATTGAAATCAGGACCTCTGGAAGAGCAGTCAGTGCTCTTAACCTCTGAGCCATCTCTCCCAGCCCTTTCTTCTCCTTCTTTTCAGTTTCTCTTAGCGGCCAGCATTCCTTGGCTCAAAGACACATCACTCTGATCAGCCTCTGGTCTGAGAACCTACCTCTCCTCTGTCGCTATCAAGGCCCCTGTTATTTTCCCAGACATGTTTAGGGCCTCCCAATTCATCTACAGCAGCATGATCTTTTCAGATTCCTTACTTAATCACACCTGCAAAGTCTTATGTTTATATCTGAGGAAAGGCATTCAATGTGCCACGCACATTGCTTCTCTTTTTATCATATAAATGTTACTAAGCAATCATCAAAATAATTTCTTATAGCTTACTATTGACAGCCAAGTGATTTATTTAAAGAACTGTAGAGGACTTTTTATACTCACCCATGACAGTCATTCACTTCTAGAATGATTGTATAATTTTTGACCTTTGTTTCATTTGTTCTAAAAAATATGATGATGACAATGAAATTATTTGGTAGACGTGCTTTGTTGGGAGATGTCTCTGTTAGTAAAGTATTTGGGGTACAAACGTGAGGCTCTGACTTTGATTCAAGCAACCACTTTGAAAGTCAGATGTGGTTACTTGCGTAAGAGATTGCTATACAACACCTTGGCACATATAGACAGACAGGCAGGCAGGCAGGCAGGCACGCATGCACGCACGCACATGCACACCCCCCACCCCAGCCCCACACTTCTGAAAGTGGTTTTGGTACTGTTTACCTGCTTAGAATGTGTTGGTAGACTTTCTCTTGTTGAAGACAGTTGTGGAATATGTCTGAACTTCAAAGGGAGAAGGAGACTATGCGTGAAGCCTTTCTGGGAACAATCAGCCGCTTGACTGCATCATGGTTTACTGCTTGTGACAATTGAGTGTGGAACACGTCGAGTCTTCTGAGGACATCTGGATTGTGAAGCTGGACTAGACTGGCCTGTGACATTTCATTCCTCACCAGACAGGGAAGGTCCACTTAGGATGAGTTTAACTTCTGCTCTTGACAATTCCCAAGACGCCCGATGCTAACTTTCAGTAGATTCTTGCCGTATACCAGACAATTTCATTATCTCTTCAGCTCTTAATTAGTACAACATATAAGTGCTACATTCTATACTTTTATCTTTTTTATTTCTATCTTAGGGGACTTAGGAAACATTTTGTATTATAGTCACCACAGTTTGTGAGATGCACTTTGAAATGCAAACATTTTAAATGCAACCTTGGAAACGCCTGTGAGTTCCACACTGAATTTAAACTTTTAGGTATTGCTATAGTGTGTTTCTTTGTGACTTCATCTGTTTTCTAGATGGAACTGAGCCGAGGTCAAAGAGCAGGACCGTCTTCCTCCAGATTCATCAGTCTTAGGCCAAAGGCTGTGGGGAAGACATTTCTTTCATTGTGTTGATTTGATTTTGGCCTTGTTCCCAGGTTACATATTCAAAGTAGTTGCGAGCACTAGTGTTACCTGAGTACTAATTGACTGAACTGTAGGTGAGAAGGCTGAAGCACTCTAGGGGCTGTGGTCTGTGGTCTTCCTCAGCATCAGATACAGGCAGGTCTGTCTTGGTTCCGTTTCCTTTGGAATTCCTTATCGGTATTCTATGCATCTTACAGAGTTGGAGCACCATGTTTGTGTTAGTTCCTTGAAACAATTGTAAAATGAAAGAGGTAATACGTATCATTATAGGTGGCACAATTAATAAAAACCCAGAGACAGATATTGGGGTTCAACCTGAAGGTCAGAAAAGTAAAACAGCCAGCCACTCTCAATTCGAAATGGTGATCCTGCCTCCAGGAGTCTCGGAATGAGACTGTGTCTGAGAGCTGGCTTCTCTCATATTACATTCTTCTCTAGGGCTGGGATTAAAGGCGTGCACCACTACAGCCTGGTTTCTATGGCAAACTAGTGTGGCTACTGGGATTAAAAATGTGTGTCACCCCTATCTGGTCTGTAAGGCTGACCAGTGGGGCTCTTTTACTCTCTGATCTTCAGGCAACCTTTATATATTAAAATACAGATGAAATATCACTAGAATTATACCAAAATATTCTGTGGTTCTTTTGAAGAAACTGGGGCCTAGTGCCCACTAGAGAAGTTTGTACCAAGAGTGTGCATTCTCCATTCTGAAAAATATTCTGAACACAAGAATAATCAGCTCCCTCTAAATAATTGGGAAATAAGACCTTGATTCCAATATAAGTAATTTTGCAACATGGAGATGACTTCCATTAGCACTTTGAGATTCTAGATATTTCTCTCCACACCACTATTCTCACCCATTTAACCCAGCCTCACCTCAAATTAGCCATCATCCTACTTCAGCGCCATCAAGAGCCTGGGATTACAGGTGTCTGCTTCCACAAGTAAGCCAGTCTGTTGTTTTAGTGTGGCCTTTATTTGCATTCTCTTGCATAAACTCCTTTATTTTAGTCCCCTGGTCTGTGCCTGTGGGATTTTTAGGCCCTTCCCTTCTCTTGTAAATCAGGAAATCCCCACTCCTGTGATTGTCTCTCTTGAACTCCCTGGCAGCTATTCATAAATAGTTCTGTGCCTTACAACTTTGAACCCAATATCAGTGCTTCATTCTGGTGCCAGCTCACAGGTGGGTCTTTTTTTTTTTTTTATCAGCTAAAAAATTAAAAGACAGAGTTTGGAACCACTGAGTGTAAAGGGGTTTGGGCTTTTGTCTGGACACAGGGTAGCCTATCATTTCATCACCTTTTGTCTGTCCGTTACCATTGTCTATGCCCTGTTCTGGGGCAGGCACCAGGTCTCGGTCTCTGCAGTCGCTTATTGGTTGGGATGAGTGTGGGCCCTCTCTCTATTCTATTCTTGGCAGGACACAGGTACAGAAAGACCCACCACATACAGGGAGAAGGAGGGCAGGAGCTGATGCTGGTGACACAGGAGTCACACCACAAAGAAAGAGGAACACTGCCTGTTGCTGGGAAGCGCTCGTACCGCCTAAGGGCCCTTGGCCTCAATACCCTGTTCCCAAAATATGCACTGCTGAGAATTTTAAGTGACTAAATAATTGAGAGAAAATAAATGTCCTCACTCCGTTTTAAGTCTTTGAATTGTTCAATGGTTCTGATAATGCAGTTTTACAGACATGAAGATTAAAACGTCTCTGTGGCAATACACTTCCATAGACACGGCTCTGTACTTCCCGTGACAGCCACTGGATGTCACTATAGTTCCCCAGATGAAGCCGGTTGCTGTCACAATAAGCAATAAGTGGAGCTGTTCTCTCTCTCTCTCTCTCTCTCTCTCTCTCTCTCTCTCTCTCTCTCTCGTGTGTGTGTGTGTGTGTGTGTGTGTGTGTTGGGTGTGGCTTCAGTTCCAACTCCTCTGAAACTTAATGGGATCCATGTTTGTCTTGCTCCCATTTGGATTCCTAATTGAAGCTGTGGTACAAGGCAGTGGCAATTAACACTACACCTCGAGCACAAACCTACACTCTTCAGGAAGAGGGATTAATTGTGTTTTAGTATCATTGCTAGAGCAGCAGAGATTTCCATTGTGAATATTACCGTGGAGTGGCTTTAATAAGCAGAATGAATGACCGGAGGCTTTTAATGAAACCGGTTTTACACGCGCAGCCCTGGCCACACTATCTCTCAAAGCCAAGAGGAGTTGCAAGTTGCCGGGAGCTTGCTGCTACCTGCTCCGAAGCTGCAACTGCAGGTTCTTTTTTCCTTTTGTTTCAAACAGAAGAGATTTGGCGTGTTTTTTTTTTTTTTCCTGTTGTCTGGAGTCAGTATGGAGTGACCCTTTCTGTGCTGCGTACAACTTAGCAGATTTTAGAGTTGTGACCACCCTTGTCACCATCAGGAACCTCAGCGGAGCCCTTAGGACGTGTTCTGTACAGAGAACCATGTGGCCTGACCTCTCGTGCTCTCAGATGCGGTATCTTGGTGGCACACACAGTACCCAAGCCAGAAAATATTTTACCAGCAAGGAGTAGGAATTGTCTATAAGTAAAACTGCCTCCTAGTTCTTTGGC